TAGGGAGGACGGGGACCTCACTGGGGTACGATCAGGCCAGTAGCGGGAATTTTTTTTGTTTGCGGGAGCATTTAATTTTTTTTTGGGGGGGGGCAGTTAAATTAAATCTAGTTAAATTAATCTGAGCGCCTGCCTTTAAGGAGGGAGGCTCCGAGCTTGTTCCCAGCCCTTCCCTTCAAGGGACAGGGCAGCGAGCCGATCAGTTCCTGGGGGGGGGGGGAAATTGCTCAGGAGGCGTTTAATGCCACAGTGGGAGGGAGAGGGAAGCTTGAGGACTGGACAAGTTGTGATGCTTAAGCAGTAGGGGGGGGTTGAGTGTCTCTACAATGCTCCCTCTAAGCTGTGGAGCCCTGTGAGCAAAAATCCTACTTTGGGAGCGACTGGCATGAAAGTTGTGAGCGGGCGATTGGGCTGCTGCATAAATCAGATTGCTCTGGAGCTGTCCTTCCGGAGCCAAGGCAAAAATGTGTGAGCCAGAGGCTAAAAAACTGTGAGCTAGCTCGCACTCACTCAGCTTAGAGGGAACACTGGGACTTTCCCCTCAAAAATAAGGTTCCGGGCGTGGCTATTTTGGGGCAGGGCTTTTAATTGGGGGGGATGCAGGGCCCCCAAATGCCCCACGGTTGCCCCGGGCCTGGGTACAATGCCGTAGAGGCCCCGTTCCAAAGCACGCGTTTCCTCCAGGGGCGGAGTCTCTGTAGTCTGGAGATGAGCTCTGCTTCCGGGGGGGTCCCAAAGGCTGGCATCCCCAGTCCGAGAGACCCGTTGTAATTCCAAGAAGCCTGGCGTCCGAACCTCCGGGTGTGTCGGATTCATTTCTGTTTTGGCAGCAGCGCCCGTCGCATGTCCTTCAGAGCCAGCTCCTCAAGAATAGAGCGCGCTTGTTCTAGAGTTGACAACCGCACGTGTTTGCTTTAATTTCTGTATTGTCTTAGAAATTGGAGCCTCCGGAATGCCCTTCCAGGTCGGCACTATAAGCACGGGAAGGGCGATTTTCAACCGCATCTCACCTTGCTCCTTGGAGAAGAAAAGGCTGCACTGCGACACCCACCTCACCCTTACACCGGGGGGTGGGGTCGCTCCATTGTAGCTGTAGAAGCCCACCAGAGCAGCTGGTTGTAAAGAGGGAAATTCAGGTCTTGATTGCCCAACGGTTGCTTGGAGATCCATTTATTTAGCGTGTTTTAAAACTACCCTGATGCTGGGAAAGATTGAAGATCAAAGAAGACGGGGACGGCAAAGGATGAGATGGTTGGACAGTGTCATAGATGCAACGAGCATGAAGTTGAGCAAACTTCAGAGGGCAGCAGAGGACAGGAGGGCCTGGCGGGATCTTGTTCATGGGGTCGCGAAGAGTCGGACTCGACTGTGCGACTGAACAACAACAAAACTACCCTTTCATCCACAGAGCACAGCATGGCGTACAGTGCTCTGCCTCCATTTTATCTTCACAACAAGCCTGCAAGGTAATAGGCTGAGAGAGAGAGAGTGATTCCCTCAAGGAGGGACGGAGAGCTACTTTTAATTGCATGAAGAGTGACGGGTCACTCCTGAGTGACCTTTCACCCGCCTCTGCTCTAACCGATATTCAGCAAGGGAAAGCCCTCTTGGAAGGGAAGCTGCAAGAATAGCTTCCCAAAGGGGCTCTCCAGTAACTAGTAGGGACTGCTTGATAAATGCATAGAGCCCAGAGCTGCGAGTTCGAAATATACCAACTGGGTTAACTCCTTCTGTCTTGGAAAGCCCAGTTGGGAGTTGCAGCCAGGAGCCAGATAAACTCTCTCAAGAGCTGCTATGTAAACAGGCGCCGCCTGAGAGACCTGGGAGTTAGAGGCTGAAACCCAAACAGGTGGTGGTCAATGTTCCCTCTAAGCTGTGGAGTCTTGTGAGCAAAAATTCTACTTTGTGAGCCACTGGCATTAAAGTTGTGAGTGAGCAATTTGGCTGCTGCATAAATCAGTCTGCTCTGGAGCCATCCTCCTGAGCAAAGACAAAAATGTGTGAGCCAGAGGCTAAAAAACTGTGAGCTAGCCGGGGGGCGGATTTCCCCCTGCTTTGGAGGCCCGATTTCTGCCGCTGTGGAATCGGGCCCCGGGGGGAAAACCCACCCCGGCGTGCACGTCAGCCGGAGGTGACGTGATGACGCCGGGCACGCTGGGGACTTGGCTTTTACTGCATCAATAAACTGACACTTCTTTGGAGGACTGTTGTTTCCTGATTGCTGCAAGACGCTGACATCTGCTGAACTCCACACGTCGGGGGGGGGTGGAGAAGCTTAAAGTTTCCGTCTGATGACCTTGAACCAAACACTGGCCAATGTTCCCTCTAAGCTGTGGAGTCCTGTGAGCAAAAATTCTACTTTGTGAGCCACTGGCATTAAAGTTGTGAGCGAGTGATTTGGATACTGCTTAAATGAGTTTGCTCTGGAGCCATCCTCCTGAGCAAAGACAAAAATGTGTGAGCCAGAGGCTAAAAAACTGTGAGCTAGCTCACACTAACTCAGCTTAGAGGGAACACTGGTGGTGGTGAGTCCTTCTGCCCAGAATAGGGTTGCCATTTGACCGGTGGGGGTGGTGAATCCCCCGATTTTGCGGGTTCCTGCCCACCGCAGGCCTGCTGGCCGATGGGAGGGAATCCCCCTCAACAGTGATGTTGCACGCAATGTGCCTGTGTCTCCCAGAAATGACATCAGCAACATCAAAGGGGCTGACACTCTGGGTTTGGGCCAAAACTCTATGGTCTAAGGCCAATTTTACCATAGAGTTTTGCCCAGAAACCAGAGCATCGCCCCTGATGTGCCTACATCACCCGGAAGTGATATAGGCACGGCGTGTGATGTCACTTCCAGTGACATCAGGGGCAGTACTTACAGCTCCTGGAGCATCCCCCTCCTCCCGCAAACGTTTCAAAGGGACCTGGGAGGCAACCATAGCGCATAATGGCCACCTGCGGCAGAGGTGTAAACCAGTTTGGTGTAGTACCTGTTTGGTGTAGTGGTTAAGAGCAATGGACTCTAAGTTGGAGAACCAGGATTGATCCTCCACTCCTCCACATGCAGCTGCTGGGTGACCTTGGGTCAGTAACAGTTCTCTCAGAGCAGTTCTCTCATGTGCAGTCCTCGAAAGAGCTCTCTCTCAGCCCCACCTGCCTCACAGGGTGTCTGCTGTGGGGAGAGGAAGGGAAGGAGGTTGTAGGCTGCTCTGAGACTCCTTTGGTTAGTGAAAGGCGGGGTATAAATCCAATCTCTTCTTCTACTTAAGGGCAGTAGGGCTCAAGTTCTCCCCAGTTTCCTGGAGGGGGCAGTGCCCCCCGGGCTTCCAGGTAGCATCATGAAGCTGGTTAGGCTTAAATTATGCAGTCTCATCCTCTCCACTGTACTTTCTTTCTCTGGGACTTTGGTACTTCTACTTGTCCCACAGGACCACCCCTCCACGGCCTTACCTCATTTTTTTCTTTGGGATCTTTGGAAGTTCTCCCTAAAGCCCCTACTTTCTGCTTGCGGCTCATCAAAACAGACAATGTACTGGAAGTTAAGGTGACTTTGGTATCCTGGGAGTTGCAGCTTGAGAGAAAAAGAAATGGAGGAGATAAGAATATTTCTGTCTTGAGCTGTGTGTGTCAGGGAGGGTTATGAAGGGCTATTGTTCGGCTGATGGTGTAATCTGTTGGTAACAGGGATAGACAATAGGCCGCATCCACTAAGCTAATGTAAGCCTATCCAGTATCCATTTATCTTATATAGATACTGGGTATGTTGTTAAGAGTTCATGTGTTTTCTGTAATGATTTCTTTTATAATATGTTAATAAAATTTTATTTAAAAAAAATGTGTTTCAGGGAGGGGAACAGAGGCTATGACTCAAATGCTGGAAGTTAAGGTGATTTTTTTTTATCCTGGGACTTCCCGCTTTGAGGATGAGAAAATGGAGGACATGGGAATATTTCTGTCTTTAGCCACGTGTCTTGTGGGGCTGGGGGAAGAGGAGGCCTGTGGCTTAAATACGGGAAGTTAAAGTGATTTTGGTATCTTGAGACTTGCATCTTTAGAGAGAAAGAAATTGAACAGATGGGAATGGCCATTTTTGTGTGTGTGTTAGGGATCCCAAGTCCCCCCTGGGGGGCGGGAAAACCCCCGCCCCAGAGGCCCGTTCCCTGGTGCCGCCAGATTGGGCCCCGGGGGGAACTCCACCCCGACGTGCGCGTCACCCGGACGTGACACGGGCACGCTGGGCACGCTGGCGGCGGGGCCATGGCCATACAAGGGAAAACTCTATGGTTTTCCCTTGTATGGCTGTGGCCCTGCCCCCAGCGTGCCTGGCGTCCTCCCGTCACTTCCGGGTGACGTGTGTGCGGCGTGCACACGCTTTGCGTGCGCGCACACAAGACGCCAGCTGGGAGCCCCCCACTCCCAGCGAAGATACACTTGGCAACCCTAGTGTGTGTGTGTGTGTGTACATGAAGGGGGAGGGAGAAGATAAAGCTGGTTCATCAAATATAGAAAGGGAAGTGATTCTGCTGTCCTGGACTCTACTTCAACCAAAGAAACGCTCCCATAATTTCAGGACAGGGTATCTGAGAAGCCAGTATTTACTACAGATTTACTACAGATTTACTATGGATTTACTATGAATTTACTGTGGATCCTGAGGTGCATTTGGAGGTTCATATTGAGTATCCAGTATGCAAATGGTGTCGTTCTTAGAGTGTTGGTCTAAGATCGGAGAGACCAGCGTTCAAATCCCCATGTAGCCACGGAGCATACTATGTGACCTTGGGCCAGTCACACACTCAGGCAGCCTAAGTTGTGAGAAAAAGAGAGAGGAGGGGGAGGAAGTATTTCCTTTCACACAGGAATGAAATATTTACTCAGATTGTTTCAGTGAAGCAGTTCATGACCTCTTTCCTCTCTACAGAGTTCTCTTTCTTTGACTGAGATTCAGACTATTATGAGCTCATGCCAGAGGGCTCCACGGCCAAGCTGTTTCTCCCACTGTGCCGTACCAGCCAGAGTTTGTAGGTGAGGATTCGATTCCGTGCAGTCCTCCTGAGCAAAAGCCTGAAAGGGATGGAGGGGAACAGAAGTCTTAGCTTCTGGCTGAGGACCCGAGCTCTTTTTACTCCCACAAGACTGCTACCCAAGGTGTAGCTAGTAGCCATGATGACTAAAGGAACCTCCACATTCAGAGGCAGTCAACCTGGGAATCAATGCTCCCTCTAAGCTGTGTAGTCTTATGAGCAAAAATTCTACTTTGTGAGCTACTGGTATTTAAGCTGTGAGTGAGTGATTTGGCTATGGCATAAATTAGTTTGCTCTGGAGCCATCCTTCCTGAACTAAGACAAAAATGTGTGAACCAGAGGCTAAGAAACTGTGAGCTAGCACACACTAACTCAGCTTAGAGGGAACACTGCTGGGAATACCGGTGCCCTGTTGTTGTCCCTCCAGGGGAACTGGCTGGCCACTGTGTGAGGCAGGAGGCTGGTCAAGAGGGACCCTCACTGGTCTGATCCAGCAGGGCTCTTCTGATGTTCTTGTGAGGGGAAGGCCTCGGCCTCTCTGCCCTGTTGTCGGCCCTTCCAGAGGAACTGGTTGAGGCCACTGTGTGAGACGGGATGCTGGACTAGAGGGACCCTCACTGGTCTGATCCAGCAGGGCTCTTCTTACAGTCTTATGAGGGTAAGGCCTCGGCCTCTCCCCCCTGTTGTTGGCAGTCCAGAGGAACTGGTTGGCCATTGTATGAGATGGGATGCTGGACTAGATGGACTATTGGTGTGGTCCAGCAGGGTTCTTCTTGTGTTCTTATGAGGGGAAGGCCTCGGGCCTCTCTGCCCTGCTGTTGGCCCTCCAGAGGAACTGGCTGAGGCCACTGTGTGAGACGGGATGCTGGACTCGATGGACCCTCACTGGTCTGATCCAGCAGGGCTCTCCTTATGCAACGTGTAGGGTTCATCTAGCTCAGAGGTCCTGTTACACAAATCTTTGTCCCGTGTGTCCTATTCCAGTAATGAAGCACACAGTTGGGAGTCCAAGCAGAGAAGAAATTCACTAAGCTTTATTCTGAACAAATGGAAGCTCCTCAACTGATAAAATTAAGCCAAGGGGTTCATTTGAATCACATGACAACACATCTTTTATACCCTCTGGTGCTCCTCCCATTATGACATGTCAAGCCCTCCCCCTATGACGTAGACCAGACATGCTCAGTTGAGTTTTCTTTGTCTAAGATATGGAGCATACATACTTGCAATCTCTTTGTTCTTTTTAAAACATGCATACCATAACCATGTCCATTGTCACTTCTAAACAATGTTGTTTGTTTGCACCTGCTAGTGATAAAATGTTTCTACCAACGTTGCTGCTGTCTGGGTCTTGTCTTTAGACCATCTAAAGATAACATTCAGTTTAAACAAAGCAGAGTTACATGTCTTTAAGGCACAGACACAAAGTTGTTTGATAGACTAGACAAAGCCATTAAAAGAATGTAAAAGGCCTTTCTTCGTTGCACTCCTAACATCCCTCCTCCCATTAAAATGTTCTATACTATCTGTATTTTAAGACTAGTACAACATCTTAGAAGAGAGAAGAGATTGGATTTATACCCTGCCCTTCAGTACCCAAATGAGTCTCAGAGCGGCTTACAAACTCCTTTCCCTTCCCCTCCCCACAACAGACACCCTGTGAGGTAAAAGAAGAAGAAGAAGAGGAGATTGGATTTATACCCCGCCCTTCAGTACCCAAAGGAGTCTCAGAGCGGCTCACAAACTCCTTTCCCTTCCCCTCCCCACAACAGACACCCTGTGAGGTAAAAGAAGAAGAAGAGAAGAGATTAGATTTATACCCTGCCCTTCACTACCCAAATGAGTCTCAGAGCGGCTTACAAACTCCTTTCCCTTCCCCTCCCTGTGAGGTAGGTGGGGCTGAGAGGGCCCTTTTGAGGACTGGTCCTGAGAGAAAAGCTCTGAGAGAACTTTTGAGTGATCCAAGGTCACGGCAGCAGCTGCATGGTGGAGGAGTGGGGAATCAAACCCAGTTCTCCCAGATTAGAGTCTGCGCTCCTAAATGCTACTCCAAACTGGCTCTCCTACATCAAACTGGCTCTCATAGAACAAAGGGCCTTCTACAAAAAATGCAGGTGTCCGTTTAACTGACTTTAGCAAGATACATCTTTAAAACATAGGACTGAAGCAGCCTAGCATGTGTGTCCTAGCGTATATCTTCAAAACAGGCATGAGTAGGGCTGTCAAGTCCCACCGGGGGGCGGATTTCCCCCTGCTTTGGAGGCCCGATTTCTGCCGCTGTGGAATCGGGCCCCGGGGGGAAAACCCACCCCGGCGTGCACGTCAGCCGGAGGTGACGTGATGACGCCGGGCACGCTGGGGGCGGGGCACAGCCATCTGAGGGGAAAACTCTATGTTTTCCCCTCAGATGGCTGTGGCCCCGCCCCCAGCGTGCCCGGCGTCATCACGTCACCTCCGGCTGATGTGCATGCGGCGCGCGCGTGCTTCGCGCGCACACACGCACACAGGACACCGTCCAGGAGCCCCCCACCGCGGAAGAAAAATGACTTGGCAACCCTAGGCATGAGAAATGAATAGAGGCCTTCAATTAGATATCCCAGCTCTAAGCGTCTTTGTTAAAGCGGGTTTGCAACATTTAGGCCCCGGTCACACGGGCTGGATATCGCGGGGGGGAGGCATGGCTAATTGCCCCGGCGCAGTTTGATCCGCGATTACGCGATCAGACGCGCCGGCGGCACACCACGGGGCTTTCCCTCGGCGCCGGCAGGTAAACGAGGGACCGGAGGGGAATGCCGCGTGCCGGCGCGATCACACCACGGGTGTCTGGAGGCAGCCCGTGGCAAACGTTTACTAGTACCTTGGAGGTACTAGTTTTTAAACGTGCATCTTCGGCGGGAAGCCACGGGTTAGCCACAGGAGCACTACACTTCCCAGATGTTGCGGTGTGATCGCGCCCGGAAAATCCGCCTATCATCCGTCTCTTTAGCGCGGCTAATGCTCCCTGTGAACGGGGCCTTAGCTAAGTTTAGCAGTAGTCCTCTATCTAGGAGGGGCTCTTAAAACAGCTTACAAAAACATTTATGAGTTTACTATATTATAGGACACTATTATAAAGTTTATTATTAGAAAAGTACCCTTCTGTATTCTTTGGCAATACATTATATTCAAACACGTAGAGAGAGAAAGAAAAGTGCCTTTAAAATCAATCCACTCTAAACGGCCTGCATTGTATGCCTGTATTCTACTGTGTTAATAACTGAGTTTCCAACAGTGTATTCAAGGACATACGCCCTAACAGCTTATCTCACATTCCATTCTTTCTCCACAATGCCTAGCCTCAGCTTTGCTTAGCAGAGAAAAAGACCTGGCCTGTTCAAAACACTATAGAGCAAGGGTGTCAAACTCATTTGTTATGAGGGCCAGATCTGATATAAATGAGACCTTTGTTGGGCCGGGCCATGTGTGTCATAAAGTGTGATGCCAGGTAGCAGAGATATAAACTTTATAAAGGACACAAACGCAAAGGGTTTTTTTACTTAAAATAAAAACATGCTTAAAACATTAGCACTCTTGCAATATTTTGTTGATTTAACAGTGTCTGATAACTGACACCTCTTGCTCTGAATTATTGCATCAAAACGTCTGTGCTGTTGCAATCTTGAGTATGCTGTTCAGGTGTGTATCTGTAAGCTGCAAACCTACAATGACACAGCAGCAGCAGAACTGGAGGAAGAAAGCAGAAGACAGCCAGTTCCACTGTGGGCCTGATAGAAGCCCTCTGGGGGCCGCATGTTTGACACCCCTGCTATAGAGGGCCTGAAATACGTTTTAGCCTTAAAAGCTTTTAATCTTCAAATATAAGAATATTAATATCAGCAAAGCACTAATATATTGCAGGCCTTGTGGGCTAGGTCCACAGTCCCTATGGGAACCATGTTACCCGCCAACACCTTACCTGGTGCCCACCAGGTATTTTCTGAAAGTGGGTGGGGCCGGGTGGGACTAATGTTATTTGTCTCCCGCTCCTCTTTCCCAGAGTTTTTAAATTGTCCCTCTGTCCCCCTGCAGATGGACTCTCTCTCTGTGCGGCTCTGCCTCCCATGGCAGCCATTTTGTGGTTGTACCCACCCCCCTGCCTCAGAATTCCAAAGGTGCCCACAGGCTCAAAGAGGTTGGGGACTCCTGGTCTAGAAGCTCCAGTCTACAAAACAGCTTAAACCAAGCACAGAATTTGAACCCAGCGCTTTCTGCTCTACTACAGGAAGAACAGGGCCAAGGAACCTAGGAAATCATTCAGAAGGCTCTAATTCCTGGTTCTCTGGGCAGTT